CAGCCACAAACAGCCGCGCACCGCCGGACAAGGCCTCTCCTCGGCTGGAGCGGATCAGCAGTTATTTCGGCACAAGTCCAATTCTACACAAGTTACGCCATCGTCGACAACTTTACAGCAGCGCTGCCCATTCCCACCCGAGGGCCGCCGCCCCAGGAGGGAGCACGCACCAGCGGCAGGTCCATGAGCACCTGCATCCCGTCGCCCGGGCCCATGTGGGCCACGTGATTGAAGTTGGTAGGGTTGGAGATCATCTTGGATCTCAGCTCAGGGTCTCGGAGCATCTCTCTGTGGAGGGAGCGGGGTGAGGCTCCGAGGAAGGAACCCTCAGGCAGCGCCCTCCCAGCCGGCCGGCCTTACCGCCGCTGCTGCAGCCGCTCCTCCTCTGGCACCTTGAAGACGAAGCGCCGCTTGCTGCGCGTGCGCAGCATCTGCTTCTTACTGCCATCCTACACCTCCCCTAGCCTAAAGGGTATTTAAACAGTACTTGGCTCTAAGGATATCCAACAAGCCAAACGCCCCCAACAGAAGAAAGAATACTTTTCTTGCTGCTTTGACAGATGAATATTTGTTATGCCTCGTTAGTGCTTTCTAAGATGGGGAGTGCAGGACGCAGGCTCAGCCTGCCCGCCCCGCAGGAGCCCCGGCCTTACCCGCCGCAGCCCGATGGTCTGTACCCACTCCATGGTGCGCACGTCGAACACGTCCACGCCATAGTCGCTGTATACTGTCACGTGGGAGGGGCTGCAACCTGGCGTGAGCGGAGCACAGGTGAGCTCGGAACTGGATGAGGGTGAGGCTCCCAGGCCCCTCACATCTCCACAAGAGGGCACCAGAAGGACCTCGGCCAAGCCAAATACCTAGGCCTGGAACCTCCACCTCCCTCCCTCACTGGGTCGCTTTCCCCAGGGCCAGGGCTGGCCCCAGGCTCTTCACTGAGCAGCAGCACCAGCTCTCACTTCTCTCCTTCTCCTGCCTCAGTCTCCCAGGGTTCTAGTTTTAGGCATGTGTCGTGCCCGGCTACCGCAGGTGACACATTAAACACCGCAAAACAGGCAGTGAGGATGACTCAAGAGCTTCTTCACTCAGCTCACAAGAAACACCAGTGGAAGCTTACTGATCCAGATTCTGTGCGAGGGGTGCTCAGCCTGGAGGATGAGCCCCATCCCCCAGGCTGCTCGGCTGCCCCACGGGACCGAGGACATCAGGGGTGGCCACCCCAGAGGTGCTGTTTGCCCTTCCTGCCAGCCTGAGGAAGGCGGACACAGCTTGACAGAACCCGCTGACGGGAAGCTGAGGCCCTACACATTTAGGACAGTAGCAAAGCCTGCGTGACCTGAGGGACAAGGGCAGACATCCCTCCCCTCTCGCCGTTCTGGGGACTTCACTGTCACCACGTGGCTGGCTGGGCCCTGCACGGTCATCAGAAGTCTCCCTGCAGGACCCTCGTCAGTCAGCAGCTGCAGGCCTACTCGGGCCTGCCATGCCAGTGCGGACACCTTTCTCTTGGGCATGGGAGAAGGAAGCAAGCGGGAAAGAGAGGCTGGTGAGATGCTGAACTGCCGACACTTGCGGAAGTGACGTCTGGGCCACACAGGAGCCTCAGTGCCTCCTGCGAAAGCTGGCCCTGCTGACTGGCTCACAGTGAGCGCCGGGCCTTCTGGGGAAGCCCTTTTCTTGCTGGACACAAGGGGTTTCCTTTCTGATGTGCTGAACAACCGACTGAAATATCTGAAGAGATACAGTGAAAAGAACATGACTTCGCAGTCACAGGAGCCCTGGCCCCAGCCTCCTCTGTGGACAGGACCAGTGACAGCGCCAGGTACAGCCTCAACAGACTGCACAGGCACAAAAGGGAGAGACCGAGGCGGAGAAAGAACGTGGGGTCAGTGCCAGGTGTGTGGGGCAGGGTGACCTGAGCCCTTTTGTTTTCCAAAATGATTCCTGTTCCATGGGAAGGACCCTGCTAAGCAGGAAGTATGGAGGCCAGGAGGGAGGTATGGGCGCAGCACGTGGGGGCCAGCTGCCCAAGGCAAGGCTGGGGGGGACAGCACAGGTCTCACACAGGTAATGAGGGGCATACAGTGCCACTTCCGGCCGCAGTGGCTGCCATGTAGTGACCCTTGTTGCTTATCACACTGGCTCCTCAGGGCCTGCTGGGGAGGTTCCCAAGGCTGAAGGCCCTCAGAGCAGCCAGACAGAAGGTCAGGTGGATGGCAGCCACAGTGAGGGGACTGCAGCAGCGCAGCTCACCCAGCTTGACCCCCGGAGGGCTGGGCTCTGGCTTCTGCTGTGCCCATTCACATCCAAAGTCACTTCTACCAAGAAAATGACCAGCACATTTGCAGACAGAATAGTTCTACCACCAGCCTCAGAAAAATTTCAGCCCCAAAAGGAGCTATAATCTAGATGTCAGAGTTGAATTTTTTCTGGTCACCAAAAGCCTTTAGCTGGTATATAGTATTGTGTGTGTGTGTGTGCTTTTTAATATTGGGGACTGAACCCAGAGCCTTTGCATGGAGTTACATCCCTATCCCCCAAAGCCCCTTTTGATAGGATCTCACTCAACCCATAAGTTGTCTGGGCTGGGCTGGGCTTGACTGGTGGTCCTCCTGCCTCAGTCTCCCAGGGTGCTAGGGTTACAGGCATGCACTCCTACACCCAGCTCACTCTGTAAGGCTATATTATGAGGAAGGCTATATTATGAGGAATGCTTTTTAAAAAGAGGTTGAAAGGTCAGGCCCCTTCTTCCATCACTGAGCCCTCTGCCCAGGGAGGTGTTGCTGGGACTCTTCTGCTGGGTAGCAAGAGGCCATTGGGAGGCCGCTGCAGTGCGATGTCTGGCTTCTCCTCCGTACCCTGTAACTAGTGGACCAGGGACCAGGAGACAAACCAAAGCAAATAGAACACATGCCGAATGTCAATGTGAGAAGCAGCAACAGGGATATGGCAACAGAAAACATATACATACTACAGGCAACAGGAGCCGCAGGCCACATGAGCTCCTGCATGCGTGACCTCCGGCCTTGAGGGTCCACGTACAGTCCCATATGGCTGAAGCAAAGCAGGTACTCCTCACTTTTGAGCTCCACAGCACAGAGGGCATCGAAAGACTGCTGTGAGAGGAACGCAAGCGAGGGGTCAGCGGGATTTACCAGGTCGAGGGGCTGCCCGTCCCCCTGGATGCTCAACAGAGAGAACCCAGAGGGGTAGCCAACACAGAGTCTGTCCTTGAACACGGCCATCCACTGCACGTGTCCTGGGGCCACCAGCTCATTGAACTTCCTGTGGAAAGGCTTAGTTCTCTGGATCTCATAGCAGAGGATTAGCCGTTTCATGGCAACAAACAGGCAGGTGGAAGAGCTCTTCCTCAGTGTTGCGGTCGCCAGAAGCTGGCAGCCCTTGGTTTCTGGAAGCTTTATATCAAAGCTGCCTTCTGCTCCATCCAAGGTGGACCATGGATAGAGGTGCACGTGGTGGTTCCGGCCACACAGGAGGATGACGATCTTTTCCCTGGGTGCTAGCTCGATTTGGTACACCTTCTTACAGTCAGCAGCGCGGACGATCACTGCAGCGAGGAGGGCCCAAGTGAGGAGAGACACAAGGTGTGGTGCCTACCAGCTGGCTCTACCCTGGGACTGTGCCCTACAGAGGCACCAGGAGCTCTGTCCCACTGTCCCTGCACCCACACAGGCCTTTGGCCACTAAGGCTCTGGCTGCTGTACCTGCTATGGGGGTGCTACAAACCCTGCCACATGCCCAAGCCAGCAAAACCCCAGATGGGGTGAACAAGTATTGGGCCCAAACTAACCCAGAACCCTCCTGGCTTCTCCCTTGCTCCTACTCTGAAACCCGAGGGACTCAGTAGCCTGGACCGCACAGGGCTCCTGGGCTCATTCGCGTGTGGGTGCCCTAGATTCTGGTTTCTTGATCCCAAGCTGGGCTCTGCCAGAGAGGGACAGGGTGACATGCCCCATGCAGGACAGAAGCACTGGTCTCTCTGGGAAACCTCAGCTGACCCAGCTCACGCCTGTATCCCCAGCCCTGGGTGCACCCAGCATTCCACTATGCCAGAGGCACACCGCGCGCAGCTGGGTGAACACCTGCCATTCTGCAAATCGGTTTTCTCCGCTGTCTGCATTCCCTCTTTTGTGACAGTCTCTGACACAGTGACTTGGTCTACGAAGCAGGTGAACTCTTTTCTTCCCGAGGAAGTCCCTACTGTAACCCTGCCTACTCACCGTCTCGGGTGACCTCGATGACATAGAGCCCTTCCTCCAGGCCAACAGCAATCCTGTCTCCATCTGGGGAGGGGAGCACAGCACAGACGTAGCCTGTGAACCAGTGGTTCACTGTGTGCCCAGACTCAGCCAGAGTCCCGCGGGGACATACCCACGATAGCAGCTGTGAGCACAGCCTTGATGAGTGGCAGCGTGCTGTCATAGGCCTCCTGTGGCACGTGCACAACCTGGTTCCGCAGCCGGTTCTTGTGCAGGATGGACTGGAGTCCTTCTAGGATCCCAACCCACTTCCGCTTTTCATTCTCATTTTCTGTCAGAATGAGCAGGGAGCTGGTCTTAGAAGGTGAACCTAAGAGAGAGGCTGTCACCTTCACGAGAGAAAACAAAACAGAAACGAGAGGAGCTGTCAGCCAGCCAGATCATTCAGGCACCCGTCCCACTCTTGGAAGCCACTCTCCCTGAGGTAACAACAGGAAGCCTGTGCTTCCCCAGCTCCATGCATCCCTGGGTGGCCTAGGCTGTGGCTCACAGAGGACACACACTGGCTGTGAAGTGACGACAGCGTTAAGTGCCTTCTTTAAGACTGCTTTCTTAGCCAGGCGTGATGGCGCATGCCTGTAATCCCAGCACTCTAGAGGCGGAGGTAGGAGGATCGCTGTGAGTTCGAGACCAGCCTGGGCTACATAGTGAGTTCCAGGTCAGTCTCAACTATACAGTGAGACCCTGCCTCAAAAAAACAAAACAAAACAAAATCAAGACTGCTTTCTTAAAGACTTACTATAACTGAAAAGCAGACTCTTAGAATGTGTCCTGGGGAGATGGGGCCCCAAACCAAAGTGGTCTCGCCCACGTCCCGCTTCCTGTGAGTGCTCACTAAGCATCTAGGACAGTGATGGAGAACCTTTTAGAGCTCTCATGGATGGCAAACAGCCTGGTGCAGCACAAGTGCCATTGGTTCACCACTGCTGACCCAGAAAACGTGGAGACCCTGGCAGCTACCAAACCATCATCACCACAAGCACAGGGTGGTGGGCATTTCCTGCATAATAGGGGCCACTGGTGAACTGTGAGCTGTGATCTGGGGGTCAACCAAAATTTGTCTCATGTAGAAATTCCCAAAAGGGGGGGCTAGGAAGAGTGTCTGTGATCTCTGATCAGTCAGATGCTTCCTGATGCCACAATGTCTAACCCCATCCAGCAGCAGGGGCTCCAACTCAGCCACGGAAGAGCCAACAGGCCAGGCCATCTCTGAGGCTTTTTCTTGTTTTGCTCAGGCAGCTACAAGTGACAGGCGGAAGTGGAGGGGCAGTCAGGTGAGGCTGCTCACGGGGGACCCACACTGACATGTCCCTCAGTGTGGCACCGAACTCAATGAGTGGCCCACCAGGCCAGAAGAGCTTCGGAGGAGGTGGGAAGGGGTCACAGATGGGGCTGCCAGGAAAAGGCTGGGAACTCCCTCCCTGTGGGACACCACAGTGTGGGGAAGGACCCATCACCGGGGGCTTGGAAGACTCACACAACGGGGCAAGAGATCAGAACAACTCCTACCCGGAATATACAGGGGATGTCTCGGCGTGTGGCGTGGATGACATCAGAGGCCAGCACTGAGCTCACTGAGAAATCTTCGTCCCTGGGAAGACAGACACACTCAGAGGCCCGAGCGGGATACACAGGCCTGCCTCACGCATCCTCCATGTTCCTCCAAGGCGTGCCTGGCACCAGTGACTGCTGGACCAAACACACTCTCATGGACTGAGCCAACCACCCACACAAACAAGCATCCTGAGGAGGTCTGGTGGCAGGTGTAGCAGACGGTAAGCCTGGCCCTGACTCTCCTGGTCCCCAGCCACCATTCCACATCACTGCCCTGGCCCAGCCTTGGCACAGCCAGGCACAGCCAGGCAGACACTAGCTAAGCCCTGTCAGGCAGAGGCACAGGCACAGAGCCCCAGGCTGGAACACATGTGTGCATGGTGAGGGGCAGCAGGAGCTGCAGAACTATCCAAAGCAAGGACATTACAGTCTACACTTTAATTGCAGTGCAGTACTTTAAGAGGCAAAGATATAAATAATGTTAATGATTACCCAACAAATTCAGTTTGGCTAAAGACAAGTGAGTGGAACCCAATTCACGGAACTGGACAGCGCTGTATGGAACAGACCTGAGGTCCAGGACTTGGCTGGCGACCACACCGGGCTGGGTGGATTTCCCCTCAGGCAGGTCATACAGAAAGAGTTTGCAGTCACAGACCACAGCGTAGGCCCTCTGCCACCCTTTCTTCACCCCAGTGGGCTTGGGGACCTAAGGATGAACAGCGACCATGTTCCACAGGGCCGGGGCAGACATTTGGAAAACACTAGGGTCCCTCAGCCTTGTTCTGGGTCTGCTTCCATCTGCTCTGTGACCATCCTGGTTCCCCGGGGCCAGCCTCCCTGTGCCCCTGCCCACATCAGTGGCCAAGGCTAGCTGGACATGTGGGGACACTGTAACAGGGGCACTGGATGTGGACACCCAGCAAACAGCAGCACTCACAGCTCACACACATTCTGAGGAGAGTAGCTATGGCCCCAGGAGCTGGGCCAGGTACAGTGGTCTGCAGCACCCGTAGCATTGGAGTCCTGACTTCATGCACACTGTCCAAGGGCTCATTCCAGTAGACAGGGCCATAGGCCCCAGAGGGAATCTCGGGCTTCCACAACAGCAGCTCCTGTGCTGGCTCGGGACCAGTCACTTCACATAGCAGTGGGTGGCCGCTGGCACTGCACTTCAAACACCGAGGGCTCGCCCCTACCTTGACATAGCCTTTGTAGGCTGTTCCTATGCCTCTCTGCACGTCCACACCAAGGGGCCTCTTGGACTGCTCAGGGGGGATGGGGCACACCTGGGGGGCACTGTCTTTGCAGGACACGTGGCAGACAAACGAGCATACTGGAAAAGAGGAAGGGCCTCATAGCGCCGCCTGCAGGGCAGATGCTGCAAGCCACACCTGACCAGGAGAGCCCTGGAACCCCACTCAGTGGTAAGCTTTGACACACGATGGAGCCCTGAGGGACAGGATGCACAGTGTCACTGCCTTGCTGCTGCCCCACAGGCTTTTGCTGATGTCACTGGGCAGCGGGGATGGAGACACACTAGGGGCCCAGCAGTCAGGCAAAGGGCATGAGTGGTAACAGTAAAAGAAAAACACAGGAGCTGTGTGCGCAGCCCTTCTACTGCTGACCACAGTCAGGAGTGTAAGCAGGGCACTGGCCCCAGACTGTCACACTTCAGGGAGCGGCCACAGGTCTGTCAGGCATCGGTAAAATGGGGAGCTTACAGCCACACCCAATAGAGGGCCACAGCAGCATGCCACCAAATCCCAAGGGCAAGAATATGAGACAAAAGACTTTCAAAAGGACTAGCAGCAAAAACATAAAGCAATCCTTGTCACTTCCAGACAACCTAAGAGTAAAGGATTTAGTTCATCACCCTCAACCTTTCCTGACTTTCCAGATGTTGCATCTGTAATATTCCTAGCGAATGACCCAGTTACTCCCAAATTCCTACTTTAACTCCATCAGGGTGTGCCCACCGGGGAAAGGACCGCTGCCCAGGCTGGCATCATTGGTGGTGGGGCAAAGTCACACACTCCGACCCCGGCCCGGCTCAGCACACTCACCCTCACAGGCGTAGCCCTGCCGGATCAGCCCAACCATCAGGGAGGTGCAGTGGCTGCACTGGGTCGGGCTGGAGAAGGACTTGATGCTGAACTGGTGAGCTTTTGGCTGCAGGAAATAGTAAGATAAATGAGGTCAGGCACCCACAATGGGCAGCAGACCTGCTTATAGTTGATTTACAAACAGCTCTATCTTGGAAGAGTTGACACTGTGCCTTCTGTGCTAGGAGTGGAACGTGAGGCTAGCTGGTAAGGCAGGATATCCTGGGCACGGGACCGCACTTCCTAAAGCCCAGACACAGCCACAGAAAACCTCCCCTGCTAAGGAAGACACAGGAGTGGGCAAGATGGAGAGCGAGTTACACCGGGGATGGGGGGAGTAGGAGCAGTCAGGCTGGCCAGGTGTGCAGCACCTTCACAGAGCTGCTTCTGGGGAGAGGTTTACAAAAGAAAGGGCCTCTGGCCTTGGTCGCCGACTGAGAACCTGACTTTGTAAGGCAAACAGTAATTGCTGCCAAACAAGACAGAGCTCCCTGTCTCTGCTGGAGCTGGAGGCCAGGTCTACAGTCAACACAGAGCAGAAGCTGTCCCTGGTACCCAGGTAAACATGTGCTGAGCCTGAAGCTCAGGGCCCGGACACAATGGTGACTTTCAATCTGTGTTAACATTTACATGAGAAAGAGGACCAACTTGCAGGAGCCCAAGGTCAGAACAAAGACCAAGGCAGAGCTGTGCACTATGGCACAAGGCGTCTAGGACACACTCAGAAAAGCCAAGGTTCCAATTGCACCTTTAGCAAAACTCTCACCCCCAAACCACAGGGCTCTCCAAGCACAGATGGAATGCGCTGGCAGAGGGAGGGATATGGGCGAGGCTCCCACAGGGCCAGGAACTCGGCCAGGGAGGGTAGGGGCATCCCGGATGGTGGCAGCTGAAATGCAGGTGCACAGCTTGGGCGTGATGGGAGAGCACAGAGAGCCTGTGTGCACACAGGGCACCACGCCACTTCACAGACACCAGGCAGTTCTTTTGGCTAAGAGCAAAGCCTACCTTGGGTCCAGCCAGAGTCAGGGCCTGCGTGGTGGGCGGCGGCACAGTGGGCGGCCTGTGTGGGGGCCGAGCCATGTCCTGGGAGAAGTGGGGACGAGTCAGCACTGCCTCTTACCACTGTTCAAGGTGCCACGCCCTGCCTGGGGCTGACATCTCTCTAGGGTTTAGTCATCAGTGACAGTCTGCATTTTTAAGTGACAGAGCCTCGCTCATCCGGCTGATCACTAACAGGAACTGAGAACAGAAGTTGAGCCTCGAGTCTTGACGTCAGAGCAGCTGCTGGTCCCCAACACTGGCCTGGATGGACTCAAGCACCCTGAGAGCACCCACAGGGCAACAGGGTCTCACCTCTTGCTGTTCCGTGCTGCTGGCCACAGACACTGATGGAGACACTTCTGTCTTTGGGGCTTGTGTTTCTTGGTCACTAGCAGAGCTAGTCTGCAAAAAGGAAGATAAAGACAATGTTCTTCGTCTGAAAAGCGCATTCTAGTGGGACCTGGGGTCCAAGCACTTCTCATTCCTCTCCCCCAACACCCCAGGTATCAACTCAGCCCCCACACACTCAGCTCTCCTGCCTCCCGAGGGCCACTGCCCTTGGTGCTCAAGGCTGCAGTGGATGTGAGAGGTCATCCAGCTGCCCTCTAGTGTGAGGCCCTTACCAACTTGGCCACGTCAAGTAGAAATCTCAACCCCAGATCTCAGCCTTCAGACCAATGAGGCAAGTGCTTCTTATCCACATTTCCAGGATCAAGAAGCAATTCCACCATCTCCATGAGCCAGTGACCCGGCACAGGCACTCCCTGGAAGCCAGTATCACTCCTAAGAGCACAGCAGCTTCACAGTAACTTGACCGTCATCTACCTAAGCAGAGGCCACACTTTCAAACCACTCAAGGCCATCCTACTAGGGCGAGCGCTCCTCTTCAGAGGCTGTCCCTGCTCACACAGCCTGTGCCATTGCATGGGGACGCAGGGTGTGGTCTGCAGCTGGACTCGACTCCCTGTGTCAACATGTGCCTTCCACAGTGACACTCAGGTCACACTCGGACGGGAGCAGCACACAAGATGTGCACAACCCTGCCCCAGACTCGTAAGGGAAAGGGCAGATCGGTTAGCTGACTGTTGGCAAACAACAGTAATGTGACCCCCCAGACAAGGGGTGTTAAATGAGTTAGAGCCCTAGCTGGTAAATGAGGAGTGGAAATATTGAGGAATTTAATTCTAGCAAAGTAAAACCCCGGAGTCTCACTAGCTGGCTAACTCATAGGATGAATGCAATTCACGGGAAGGTGAGCATTCAGGGTACTGCAGCTGGCAGCAGCTTACTCACTTTCCCCCAGCAGGCTCGCAGAGAAGAGGCAGGCCAGGAGGATAGGGAGTCCTTAGGGTGACAGAAAGGAGAAGCACCGGTCATTGCTGCCCATGTAGTAGGCAGCTGCGGGAAGCTGCTTCCACTGAAGTTCAGGCCCTGCACAGCAGCATGCGCTCAAGCCAGACGCGGCCTCTATGGCAAACTCACTCCCGCCAGGCCAGGAAAAGGGACTGACGAGCGAGACACGATGGCTGCCACAGTGGGAACACCCTGCTATTGAGCTCTGTGCACCTTCACTCCCTTCCCAGAGAAATCACTGCCTTCCTCGCCACCTCCACGCTGTGCTGCCAACAGTCAGCTTTTGGTCCTTGGAAACTGCTTTCATCAGTGCAGGGGATTGAACTCAGGGCCTGTGCATGGAGCTATAGCCTGTCGTTTTTACTTGAGACAGGGTCCCATTAAGTCATGAATTGCCCAGGCTGGCCTTGAAGATGCAATCCTCCTGCCCCAGCCTCCCAGAGTGCAGGGATTATGGACATGTGCCACCATGCGTGGTATTATCACTTCCTCCTCATGCTCCACCAGAGAAGGACATGACTCACACAGTGCTAGGTTTACCAAAGACCTAGCGCACAGAGGCCCATTAAATACTTAAGGTCTGAGGGCTTCTGGGAAACACCAGGACGGCTAGTCTGGTAAGGACAAGCATTCTGTCAGGTGAAGTATGCCCAGAATGGCCATGGGAGGCTCCTGAGGGGCAGACACCCACACAGCTAGGGGTGACCCCAGCAGACAATACCCAACCTATGAAACAGCAAGGGCGGACGTGGCATCTCCATGTGGAATCTGTGCCAAACGTTCAACCCACACATGTAGAGAGGATACTGCGGCAAATCCAGGGCAGGGCATTCTCCAGACAGAGGTGGGAGGAGGATCTGCCCCTGTCAGAGCGGCAAGGAAACTGGACTGCTCACTGTGGCCTGTGGCTTCTGGTGGCTCCTTCCCTGGGAGGGAAGGATGCTGCTGGGACAACAGGGGAGACTGCAGAGAATCAAACTTCCATGCTAGTGCCAAACATCACCAATGCTGCAGACATCGCAGCCCACAGGAGACGGCCTCACTCTTAGGTGATAATCGCTCAGGTATTTCAGGGTCACCAATGCCTGTGAGTCACTGTCCTGTGGGACTCAGCCCTAGTGGCAGCGCCATCACATGGCAGGTAGCACCTGCCTGGGGTGCTCCAGTCACCAGGTATGCTGTGGGTAAACCTTTCTCACAAACCCTCCTGCCAATACAGATACCCAGCTCTCTTGCCACATGGAAATTATAGAAATGGGAATATGACTAATTGCTATTATTTGATGCAGTGTGGAAATTTTTATTTGTAAAGTTACACAAAATGCTCATGACTGCACAGCCAGAGGCCACTGTAGATTTATGCCCTGAAGGTGCTGAGCACTTCCTTGCCACTTAGTCTGAGCAACATTAGTCCCTGGCAACAGTTCCAGTTCCTCAGTGTCTCTAACACTGAGGTGAGAAATCCTGGGTCACCTATTATTATTTTTTTTTTTAAATAAAAGAAGACAATTTACTTGAAGATGGAGAAGTAGGAAGGGAGAGATGACAGACAGCTACTCTGGATGAGCAGGAAGAATTCGAAAGTGAATTGTTCCCTGGGTCACTTATGCAGATGTTGTGCCTGCAGCCCCACCAACTTGTGTTCTACTATTTCTAACTTGTAAATCCACCTGTCACTTTAAAAAGTAATTACTCACTCTAAACGTCAGATCATGTGCAAGAGGTGTGGTGTTGAAGTACTCAAAGATGGAGTCCTGAAAATCTGGAAGTTTGAGCCCTGTGAGAGAGAAGGAACGGTCAAGGCAGAACAATGAAAAGACAGGGAGATCTTACTGTTAAGTGAGTACAATCAACACTGCCCAAGCCCAAAGGTCAGCTCTGCCTGAATGCGATGATGAGGGTGCTGTGTCCTCAGTGCAGTACCACGGGGCCTCCCCAGAGGGAGCCAGAGAGCCAACGGTTCTCAGATAAACCCAGGTCTATGGGAAGCTTCAGGAAGGAGGTGATAGGGCAGGCAGAAGGGCGTCCAGAGATCACAGTGGTGGCACTAAGTAATGCACAGGGCAGAGCGCCTGGAGCCACTCGGAGCCACAGGGACCTTGACTGTGACCAGGGCCACTCATGGAGTCAGGAGGGAGGGAGCAGAGGAGAGAGGCAACTGTGAGACTCCTCCTCAGACAGTGCCAGAGTGAATTCAAAATGGAGCCTTCACCTGAAGTCAAAAACATTAAACCAGGCCAGTGCGGCGGTGCATGCTTGAAGTCCAGCTACTAGGAGGCTGAGGCAGGGGTGATCACAAGTCTGCTGCCAGCCTGGGCAACACGGCAAGACCCTGTCTTGAGGAAAAATGTGAAACTCTGCAAATATTCAGAGCAAATGGGAATGGGTGGAAGTCAGGATTATTTTCTTAGTTATAAAGAGGAACAAAAATGATAAATCCGACAAGGAAAAATTTAAAAAGCAGCTGGGTATGGTGGCATATACCTGTAAGCCTAGCACTCTGGAAGGTTGAGGAGGAGCACAAGTCTGAGCTCAGCCTGGGCACCTCTGTGCCTCAGGAAAAATAAAAATAAATAAATAAAATAAAGGCAAGGATGTAGCTTAGTGCCACAGTACTGGGTTAACTCTCTAGTGTTGCCAAAACTAATAACTAAATACATAAAGCTTTTTCTTCACAAAAATCCAACATAAGCATAAAGTCAAAGTTAATGCAACAGATAAAAGGCATTCTCCTGCAACGTGTAAAAAGCTTCTGAGACTTAAGACAACAAACTGGATTTTTAAAAATGAGCAGAGAAATGCAAATTAAACCTATACCAAGATGCCATTTCTCACTGATCAGGATGGCAAACCCCCAAGTGTGTTGCCTACTCTGTGTGGAGTGCAGGGCAGGAGCCCCTTGTGATCCATGTGTGCCTGCCCTCTGACCTGGCAATCCCATTCTAGGACTGCCCCAAACACAGCGGCAACAACATGGAAAGCATTTTCTACAATGGCTCAGCAGGGACAACCGAGCCCCTATCCTCAGGCTGCCAGGGCCACTGTGGGCACATTGGAAGGCTGGGATGGCTCAGGGATACAGCACGCTGCCTTCCATGTGGTAAGGACGTGAGTGCATCATGACACACAGCGTGTGCTCCACTTTAAGATGACATAAAAGAAGAAGCAACCAAACACCATGGTCACCTTGGGGGAGGCATCATTGAATGTACTGCTTTGAAATTAAGACTGTGATGATATTACATACACACTTCATCAACTACTATAAAGAAAGTATTAAACCTTAGAGAAAATAAAAGAAAAAATTCACCCATTTTGGGCTGATACTTAAATAATTTAAAACGTTATGATTTCAACTTACCAGTCTCTGCTCTAAACTTTTCTTCCATCTTTTTCTTCAGAATTTCCATTTCTTGTAATAATTCTCTGTTTTTGGCTTCAGAATCCTTCAGTTTACTACAATACACAAATAGACAGCTTTAAGTGCACTGGGTGGAAGCCCAGATGTGGGATGTGGGCGGGCAGGAGCATAGCACCTTCCCCGCAGGCCCCTCTAGCCAGCGCCAATGCGTCAGGAATGACAAATATCCAGGGTGGACATTGGTGGCTCACAAGGGTGCATCTGAGGGGCCCAGGTGTTCCTGTCACTCCAGATGCGTCTGTCCTTAGGGAAACGTGGCCTACTGCCCAAGTACACAGACCCTGCGAGTTCAAAACGTGGTGGAGGAGACAGTAGAGCCAGGCTGCCGCAGCTCAGTGGCCAGGGTGAGCAGGGCAGATGGGGCTCAGGGGCTCCTTAGTGGGGTGACACTGGGCAAACTGCTTGGCCCCCGTGTGCCTGCACCCTGGTCTGTGTCTGTAACATGGGGACAAGAGTGCCTGCCCTGCAGAGCTGGGTGAGGTACACGTCAGCTAATGGCACAAAGTGCTCAGAGCAGTTCTGGACACAAAGGAAGTAAATTTAAGTGGCAGTAGTGTTTTTGGCTGGCATCTGCCAGATTTGGGGACACGGAATCTCCCGTCAGTAACCCGCTGCTCCCATCTCCACAGCTCAATGCTGAGGCCTGAGCAGGGAAACAGCCTGTGTGAGCAGGTCCAGCAAGAGCACGGCCGGACCGCTGTGTGTTCATGTGTGCATGGGTGGGGGGAACTCTGAACGCACATCAATTTCAGTCTCTAAAGGGTCACCTTTAGCTTGGAAAGGAAACTGTAGCCAAAGGCACCTATCAGCTGTGTGGCTGTGAGTCTTGTCACCAGCACCCCCAGGCACACAAGGCAAGAGTCGCTGAGGCCCTGATACCACAGGCTGGATGCCTTCCGAGAATGCTCACACCAGGCAGGACGGCACCCCTGGACTCTCCTCCCACTCAGCCTAGCTTTCAGCACCCCATGTCCTGCAGAGTGGCAAGTTCGCCTCTCCCCGGGCAGGACCACCAGGGCTGACCACCAGCGTGGCCACAGCACAAGCACCTTTCAAAGGCTAGGCTGGTGTCTTTGACCTTCCTCAGCTCCTCCTGCACCAGCTGCTTGGCTCGGATCTCGGCCTCCAGCGCAGACTGCAGCTCAAGTCGCGCAGACATGTCCAGCTTCTGGCTCCGGCGCACCTTCCACAGTGGGTCCTGGGCATGGGGAGCACAGCGGAAATACACTAAGGCCGTGTGCTTCTCAGACACTGAGTCTTCATTTCTAAAATGAAACCTTCACTGTTAGGTTACACATGAATCCTCAGATACGATCAAGAGCCACCAGACATGATTTTAGTGCTGCAATTTCATAACTTTCATTCTTGGAAGTCTTCTTAAAGAACACAATTACTAATTTTTAAAAATGAGACTAAAACTGTAGTGCAATTTCTGAGGGGTCACAGGTGTCCCAGGGCTCCCTGTCCCTGTACCTTGAGCTATTTTCTGCTTCACTGTCCCAGAAGGGACATCACTACTTGTCATGACAGATGGCAGAGGGGCAGTGCACCAGCTCGCTGCTCTTCCTTCCCTTTTTTCCCTGAGCTAAGCTGCCTCAGTTCTTGAGCAGCAGCCAAACTCCATCACAGTGGACCTCCTTTAAGCTCTCGCTGAACACAGGGGAGGAATTTTCATTTCTCACCCGTAACAGAAAAGAAAGCTGATGAGGACGCCATTTCACCAGCGACCATCAGAAGCAGCTGAGGGGCATGTGTGGTGGTGACAATGACAGGAGAAAAGTCCCAGTGAATCTGGAGGCGACCCTGCTCTAGCATCGGTCCCTGGCTGCACACAAGTGTTCCCTTTCCTTGGAGCGATCTGAGTACTTAATGCACCGCAGTCCTGCTTGGCAGTGAACATGCAGATCTCAGTACAAAGCTCACCAGTGTTCTCGATCCCAGACTAGAATTTCTCAAAGCCTCAAGCTCTTCGGTCATCTTGGAAGCAAGGGCTTGGAGGTAACCGCGGGCGTCTTTCTCGTCGCTGACCCTGGGAAGAGATGCCGTCTCAGGAGGCACAGGAGTCTGCACACAGAGCCACTTAGGACAAGCACTTCCCAGCCCTGGCACGCAGCCTGCATAGCCACAGCAGCTGTGTCCATGGGGGCGGCACCACAGTAAGCAGGGGCCACCCCTGCTCCCTTCAAGCTCTGCAGCCCAGTCATGTGATCGGTGGGCTGTTGGGAAGCATTTCATCTGTTTCCCCCTAGGTGTGCACGGTGCTCAACCCAGTCCCAAGTGAGCTTGCCGTTGTCAGGGTTTGCATCTAACGTCTCCCTGAAGCCTCTCAGGCAAGACCTCGGAAAGTGAACAGGTACAGGGCTCAGTTGGCCTGATGCTAGGAGATGCGACCCTGGGACCTGGCCTGGCGGTTCACCCTCCCCGGCTCCTCCCTTCACTCTCTGCCTCTGTCCAGCCTGCTGTGAGCAGCTCTGCCCACACCCCTGTGCTGTGCCATGCTGACCCGCAGCCAGGTCACTGTGGCCTGGCACTGGAGACCACATCAGCCTGGTCTCCTTATGCTGCTGGTGTTGGTACGAGCACCAGTGATGACACAGTGACCAAGACAACCTGTCTCGCCACCGCTGGTCAGTGATGTCACAGGATGGGACTTCTGGCTAGCCCTGGATGCTCGGGCAGAGGACGAGGCTGGGGCACGGCCAGGACAGATGGGCTGAGGCCGGCATACCACTGGATGATCTCCGCGATCTGAGCTTCCCAGTGTGCCACCGACTCCTTCTTGGCTGCCAGATCCTGCAGCTCATCCTCCAGCTGTCTGTTCTGGGCTGTGAGTTTATCCACAAAGGAACAGAGCTGAAACGGAACAACCCCACATCACTTATTAACTGGCACCCTCAACCACGGCAGCATCACACAAGCTAGAGTTCTCTGGGAGGCTCTGGACATTCTCCTTTATCGCTATGGTTTTTCCAGACTAGGTTCAGGCTAGGGACTTTCTGCTAACTCAAGTTTCAATTCAAATCTAACTCTGAAGTGACAGAGCTTGTGATTTCAGGTAAGTGCATCTTAAGCGAATGAAAACCCACTCCAAAGGTCAAACATTATCACTTCATTTAAAAATCAAAACATTTAAAACAGACACTAACCTCCCAAAAGCCTTAAGAATGAAAAATTGTAACTTCCACATAAGTGCTTACTCAGATGTTTCCCATTACCTTTTCATTTTCAGCAGTCAGTTTCTTGCTTTCGTCAAACAGCAGGGCTCTCTCGCGTTCGTACTTGTCTTTTATTGTGCCGATGGCCTCCTCCAACTCGCTGTGCCTGCAGGCGGGAGGGGGAGATGGTCGAGGGGGCTCCAGCCTCACTCTTGTCCACACCCACAGCCTGGGTATGTGCTCCAGCTTGCTGCCACATAGCAGGTGGGAACTCACCGCTCTCGCTTTGACTTCTCTAGTTTATCTTTCAGCATTAAGATTTCCTTCTGCAGGGCTAACTGGTGGCTTTCTGAGTCATGCACCTCCTTCTTCACGTTTTTCACTTCCAGCACGTGGGAGGCCTCGCGTCGGACCAACTCCTCCTCGTAGAACAGGACTTTTTTCTCAAGCTCTGATTTGATCTTGGAGATCTCCTGCTGGTGCTCCAAAGCAGCCCCTGGGCCCCAGCCTCCTTGCTTAATCTGTAGACAGAGGATGAAACCAGACGACAAGTCTGTGCCCTCCCTCAAGGTGCCCACAAACATGGCTGCTTTGGTGAGCCAGGACTGCCGTGGTGCAGGTGACCTGAGCAATGTGACCCTCAACACCTGCAAGGCACGCTCAGGGGCATGCATGCCTAGCTCTGCCTGGACCCCTCAGTGATTCCCTGACCTTCACTGCCCAAGCGTTTGCCCACAATGATCTTTGGCAGGCCGACTGTGAGCCACGTCCACCGATGATGGTGAGGGCCCGGCTCTCCTGGCGGGGACTGACAGCGCCACGGTGTCAGGACGATGTGGAAGGCAGCAGTGAGACAGTGGCACACGAGGCCAGCATCAGGAGAGGATCCCACACACCGAACAGGGATGGAGGCACAGGCACGGAGGTGGACAGCAGTAACAAGTTGGGACTGCACAGGGCAGCGGGGAGCCACCTTAAGGGCACTGGCTTGGACTGACATGCTCCACTTGGCACAGCAAGCTCGCCTGGCTGCTGTACGCAGACATGCTCAGAGAGCTAACAAAGGCACCAGAGCTGGAGCAGGGAGCGGCACAGACACAGAGAAGAAGACTGCTGCAAAGCAGCCGACACGGGTGCTGCCAGCCAGGAGTTCCCGGCTCACACGAGGGAAGGAGCCCCTTGGAGTTGCACCATGATGACAACCTGGCCTGGGTCCTCTTACCCTGTCCCTCCTTCCCCAGCCTCCTGCTGCCCTCCAGCCCCACCAGCTGACCCCTGATGGATGACCAGCCTGATGTGAACTTCAGGGAGCTTTTCCAGAAACCAACTTGGCCAAGCCAAGGAAATCAGGATAGGAAGAAAGTATCTAAGGTGAGTGCCCCAGACCTACTGCACGCTGCCCAGAACTCTACCTAGGGAGCCAGTAACATGCAAGAACGACGTCCAGGCAAAGGCCATACCCCTACTGCCCACCCGTGGTCCTGCGGAGCTGCCCTGGGAGCCACACGCTACCTTGAGGGCCTCGAGCTCACTCTCCATCTGCTTGCAGAAGCTCTCACTGTGCTCGCGAAGCTTGCGCTCCTTCGAGGCCTCAGCAACAGCATCCTCGAGCTGAGATTCCAGCTGGGAAAAGTACAACTTACAAGTTAGTACTGGGGCTGGGGGTGTAGCTCAGTGGCACTGTGCCTGCCTCGCTAGCACAAGTTCCTGAGTTCGATTCCCAGTACCAAAAAAAAAAAAAAAAAAAAAAAA